ACACACCCTCCCCCAACGCGTGCGCGCGCGCACACACACACACACACACACACACACACACACACACACACACACACACACACACAGATACACAGACATACAGATGAACACACAGGCTTGCTCACTCATAGAAACCAGATTAGCAAAGACCATTATAGTATGAATGAAAAGCAGGAAAGCAGTCCTTTGGGACATCCATTAAAATTGGAACGATACAGAGAAGATTAGCATGGCCCCTGCACAAGGATGACACGCATAAATCGAGAAATGGTCCCAATTTTTATGGTATGGTCATACCACGGCTAATGCGCCCGATCCCATCTGAACTCGGAAGCCAAGCACCATTCGGCTCATCGGTGACCTCGTGGGAAGTCCCAGTGCTGTACCTTAAAAAAAAAGGAAAAAAAAAAGAAACAGGAAAGCAACAGATCATGCGATGAATTAAACTTTAAAAGAGACCATTATAATATGAATGAAAAGCAGGAAAGCAACAGATGATGCGATGAATTGTACGGTTGTATCTTGTAGCAGAGTGACTCTGCTCTAAATTTCCCATGATATTTATTATATACTGTCTGCTACCATCTTCCCCCCAACAAAGCACACCATCATCACGACTCTGCTGCACTGACAGAATAGCTTGTGTACGATGGTTACACCGGACCAATCCGGACGTTCTGTTGGACCTCTGTGTGGAGTGCTCCAGACTGTCAGGATTCTAGCCGCCCTCCCCCGCAGCCCTAAAAACCAAAAAGAGAAGGTTTTTACCCCCTTGGATTTGTCTATGAACTCCGAGATGATCCTCAGCCAAACAACTTTTGTATTGCAATGCTGCATAACATATCTTTCTTTCAGATTTTTTTTTCTTTTTTCTTTGGATCCGGACATCTGGATCAGACATCAGACCCGGACATCCAGACTCGGACCATCCGCACTGCGATCCAGACGTCCGGATCATAACCATGCTGTGTACATTCAAGATCACGCCATCATGGTGAGTTGTACTTGCGGTATGGTACTGCCAGATTTAAATGAAGGGATGAATAATATCCCTGGTATTCTCCGCCGAAGCCGGGTAATGGGCCATGTATCTCAAATTTTCTTTATTTTCATATGGGACGCTGGGCCCGGTTCCAAGTACGTCCTGCTCCCCACAAATAGATTGGAGCACTATTCCCATTAAAAAAAAAAGAAAAAAAAAGATTTTAATGAAGGAAAGACGGTAGCTTGAAGACCTTTGACAATGGGGGTGAACTCCATTCCAATTCTGATGACCACTCTGTGGGACCAATCTCCTCCCACTATTCGTATTTCACTCTGCTCCTACTTTCCCCAACATCTTCCCCATCAACCTCACCTTGCCTCTGACAACCACTTTCTTTTACGTCTCTTCTCTCCCCGATGCCTCACCTCTACCCTTCTCTTCCACCTGGCCAACTCCACTTTCCCTCCTCTCTGGTTGCAGGTAATCATATGCATGCACGTCCCTCGTCTCCTGCTCTGCTCTCGGCGTTGCCCTCCCGGACTCATCCTCGTCGCTATCCAGAATGCGAGCCAATAAAAAAGGTTGAAACACTCGCTCAATTTTTTTACAATTCCTAAGCCCCCCACAGGCCAATACAAACTCCAAACACTCAGCCAATCAACTTAGCACTCATTCAGATTCACCAGCGCGCTCAAACTCGACAGCATCCTATAACTCTCGTCTCCCGAGAAGATTGGCAAGCGCTACATGAGCACCACTGGGTCTGATATCTCAAGGCCTGTGGACCTTTGTGCCAGTACCCTACGGTTGAAGAGACTTCTGGGACCAACTGTGATCCTCTAGGCTGCGGTTTTGACTCCTAGACTTGGGCAGACCCACACTGATCCAGGCTGACCCTCTCGCCTTGAGTTCAGCACATGATCTGACCAAAATATTTACCCTGGTCAGGACTCGAGGCTATTTAATATTTACCCTGACCAGGAAATTTACCATGGTACCGCAGCCTTAGGGCTGCGAACACATGTGCACGCGGAACCTACTGGCGGTAGGCATTGGCCTCTCTCCCCCGTGCTCCCTGTGCCGCGCAGTTCCTAGCCTCCCCATCTCGGGTTCCAGCCTGCGTCCCGGCCTTGCTACTGGCTTCCGTCCTGGGGTTGATACAGGCCGAGAATCCGTCTTCCCTCCCCCGTGCTTCCGCGTCTGCCGGATTCTACCCGTTGCGCTTACCCGTTTCTGCAGGCTTCATCAGTGAGAAAGAAGTGAAAAAGAAGGGCCTCAACAGACCAACATCAATGTCATCCATGTCAGGTTCAGAAATAAGCAAGGATATCAAGGACAGGACAGACGGTGAACCCTAAACCCACCAGTTCACACGAACCTAAATAGTGCTCTTACCAGTTTACGCAACAAGGGCATTTTGATTCGGGCCTGGGCCAGTAGCGAAAGTGGCAGGCCGGTTTGAAAAGGCACACTTGCAGGCTCGCAAGCCCTGGAAGGTAGCTTTGGCAACTTAGGCTACCGTGTTCACCCGAACAGAACGCCCGGTCATTATAGCTGCATTTGGCACAACTTTCAGTCCAGATGCAGCGACAATTACCGGGCGTTTTATTGGGGTGAAGATGGTAGTGTGAACTGGCGGTTTAAGGGGGGAGAAAGGGAAGCAACGGAAGCCTTAAGAGCGTGAGGATCCAGACGTACACACGCCGAAATGAGGGAGTTGAAGGAGTCAACATCTTGCTCAGCAGCGTAAAGAAACATTTTCTCCCACAAGCTGGGTATTGGGACATCTAAGCAGGATCCCAAGGCCTGAAACCTTCATATGACAGTACCATGGCTGGGCTATTTTCAGCAAACGGTGCTGCAACCTCTGGGGATTGGGGGCATTTAAGTGGCCATTGATGAAACTCATCAACGGTGGCCCCGACCCCCGAAGGTTGCGGCATGTATACAGCCCAACTTGAAAAACATAGCTGGGCCAACAACTGGGGGCTGAAAGGCTGATCATCTCACATAAACTGAACCTTCGCCCCCATTCCTCATGATAGGGTTGCTCATCAGATATATATTGTCAATTTGTCACATAACTATGAACTAAAAGAGCGCAATTTTTGCAAAACGAACGGCAAAAATAAAAAATTAAAAAAAACAGGACCAGCATGAAGGGCACAGTGAAACCATTCATTTTTCTCATTCTTCTGTTGACTCCCCTTTCACCGTGCCTCTCACGTACACGGCTCGCCATGTTGATGAAGTTGAGCGCGAGCGCAGACAAACAAAGAACGATAAAGGGAAAGTAAGGGAAAGTATGGAGTGCGGAGTGAAGATGAAGGCACAAGAGGATAAGAAAAGGCTCAAGAATGAGTCTGTCCTTGATGACAGAGAGGACATACATTGTAAGGATGACGTGGATGCACACATGGAAGAGCTAGCTGAGCATCCTCAGTGCAACAATTGCCACGACGGGTGGCATTGAGCATGCCCGCCATACACCCCCGACAAATGGCATATATATGTAATATATCGTCACAAACAGAACTGCCCAGTAATATATATATAAAAAGGTACATCAAAAAGAGGACTTCAAAGAGGAGAAGCGTAGGCTAACCACCGAGGGCAAGAGTGAGAAGGACAGGCAGAAAGGGGGTGGAAGTGGGAAAGCTTACTTTGGACACCATTTTATTCACATTATCAAATTGATGAATTCCAACAGCCATTGCAAGAAGGTACTTCGGTCTTGTTACAAGGTCCTGCCAACCATCCACAGACCAGTCATTCAGACAAGATGATGGTCGCAAGGCAACCATCACCATCATAACATTAGGAGCTGGAACTCTCTGAATCAATATATAATTAGATTAAAATAAAAGTTATAAAACAATTTTCCATCCCTTCAGTAGTTCATAATAACAATTATATTATTATAATATTTTGTCTATCATCAACCAAAAACAAGCAGTCTTCAAGAAACAACTGAAGAAAACAGCAGACAGCATAAGTGCAAGGAATATGAACGAGAGCAATAGACAGAAAACCAAGTTGCAAAATCATGCAGAAGTCATGTACCAAACAGAGAGCATAAATGCACCAAGATTCCATCCATATAAGAGCGATACAATGAACTCGTGAGTGAATGTCCAAGCCCTCAGGCCACACCAACGCAGTATCCAATGTTGCTCCTACTGTATGGCACCCAACGCCCAGCCTATCTATCCTATCTACATTCGTGCAACAGGATCACTTCGCCGTTGAAGACCAATGTACATGACGTCAACACCAATGCCGACCTCCCACATACACCAGGTACGTTCTCTCTTCTCCCCTCATCAGACCTTGTCCACCCACTCATGCACCTCCTTCCCTGAAGACCACCGTCGCCCATCACCTGCCCGCGTCCCTCCAGCCCGGCTATGGCCACTAAGCGCCCCGCTGCCCTGCAGCACCTCTCTTCACCTCATAGCGACCCAATGCGCCCCAGCCAGCAGTGCTAACCCAGACACTTGCGCAGCGACGCAGCAGCGTGTCCGCATTGCCTGCTTAGGCCAGAATAACCTCCTCTGGCCGGCCTCCTCCCTATATGGGAGTAGCTGCCCTGCTGGGCTGCCTGGGCCTCGCCGAGGAAGTTTCCATTAGCTTCCGGTCAGGCCCCAGTGTCTGCGCCCAGGCCCATTCCTACAGTTAAGGGCCTGGGCCCTCTTCGGTTGGGCACCTTCAGGATGCCTTCAGGCTCCAAGTGTTTGTCGTGTTTGCATTGGCCCGCCGGGTAGGTGTGATGACAATGCTGCATTCTCATTGGCCCGCGGCCACTTCGTTATGTGTCGGCCTCACACTGCGTGTGCCCAGGACGCAACCACCTGCGTCCTGGGCTCAACTGGTTGACGCAGCTGCTGCTTCTGGAAAGATCCCAGGGAGAGGCCCAGGTTGCACTTCAACCAACTGGCGTGCTGCAACTGTCTGATACCAACACTGGAAAATGCTGAGATAAGGGCCTCCCATGGATATTCAGGCCCGCCTTCGCTTAGGGCGAACACGAGGCTTGCTGGGGGGCCACAATCCAGAACATGTGCACGTTGGCTAGGGCCCCATGAGGACACATTCCTCACATAAGGCACACCAAAACTGTTGATTAAACCTTTTTCCTGCACAGTCCCTTTCCTTTTTTTTTCTTTCTTTTTTTTTGTTGAGGAAACAGAACCTTATGGTTCTGGCTCCTTTTCCATTCTGGGGAGCAACAGTCCGGTTCCTATTCCACCGGCAACGGCGGCAAGTCAAAAGGCTTACAGATGTACTCACGCACGCCCTGCACAGTCCTTTCAATTCTGCATCTCTTACAGCTTTTCTCCTAGGCAGCACAACATTTCCAGTCAGATGACCTCTCTGGATCATCCGCCCGGAACATCAGGGTGGGGGGGGAAGGGGGGGGTAGAGCAGGTTCATCCAGTCAATTTTTTTTTATTTTTTTTTTTGGGAAAGGGAGGGGGGGTGTTCAAGCACAAGTTCATAGTAAGTTCATGCTTGTTTTAATTCTCAAAATTCTCTAACGACCTCCCTCAACTAGTCAGCATTCCCCAAGCATGTGGACTACGGTGCCGGCCACATACGTTTGGATTAATCAAACATTCTGAATGTATCAGACCTCGAAGAGGTCCACACGCATTTAGTATGCTGTGTACTGGACAGAGGCCCTAAGCGCGTTCTAAGTGGCATTCGAGCTCACAGCTGTCAAGCGACAGCTGCTGGGTGTACACTTTCTTATGTTCTTTTTTGTGTTTTATTTCTTCAACTTCGGTTTTGGTCGTTTGTGCCACCCAACCATGTACCATAATATTATGTGCAATGACAAGTGACCCAAAGGAGCAATCCACACCACACCGGATGATAAGAATACACAGCAGAAGCACACAAATACCGAAAATGGAATTGAAATGAAAATCAGTTCTAATTACCATCTCTCCCTCCAGATCATCCAACAGCACAAATTTCTAAGGATCCCAACCACGTTATCAACACCCGCGGACCAATTTTTTACAAAGTTTCATCGAAGTATCCAGGAGGCTTCTTCTTCCTCCCTCTTCTTCAAGCTCTAGCTATGGTGCTTGCAAGCACCCAACCTATCAAGCCTGCCCATCGCCACACACGATCCTAAATCCAACACCCCTCTCTGCACCACTCAAGAAGCCCACTGCAGATGAAGTGTCCATTCAGCAGGGGAGCGCAGCTCCCAGGATGATGAAGAAGAACAGCAACTCCATGAAGATGAAGATCTGCCACGTCGAAGAGGAACCACTGAAAGTGCAGCTTCGGTGGCAGCTGACCATCCCCCAACAAGCACACAAATACGAGGAAGCGCTCATCAGCACTTGGGCGCCGAGCCCAGCGCTGTCACCAATGGAGCTGGCCGGCCCCAGCTATGGCTGCCAGCGGCATGTGGAGAAGATGCCCTGCATACAAGCCCACAATCGCGCAGCAGGGAAGCAACGCGACCTCCACCAAGACGATGAAAACAAAAGCAACGAAACCAAAAGAACCCCACACTCGTCGGCCTCTGCCTACTTCTACCCGACTTCCCTAGACCTAAAACACAACAGCCACCTACAGACCTATCCGACCATCCAAAGAGCAAACATCTATGGCCAAACAGTCAAGATCTACCTACATGCATCTAGATCGAAACCTATACTAAGGGGACCCAAGGCTAGGACACACAAAAGAAAGACCTACAGGCCGACCAGTTTCCAGAAGAGCAGAAAAGGACAAAACAGCAAGGCTGAAAAGCCTAAGACTCAGAAGTAGAGACTACTAGCCACAGGTTCAAGGTTCAAGCCCAATGAGGCTCAAAAACAGTCAAACACCACAAACACACTACAGGTCATGGGATCATGTCCCAGGTTGACTTCAGCAACCGCAGAAACCAACAAAAAACAGCAAAAGTGTAAGGGTCTAAGACTGCCAAGTAGAGACTGATAGCTACACGCCTAAGGATCAAGCCCAGTAGGGCTCGAAGCTAACAAACCAAGTGTATAAATAAAAGGTCGCGGGATCAAGTCCTACAAGGCCCAAACCAAGGAAACAGCAAACACAGATAGTGTACAGTCTCACTGGGATACTGTGATTTATTGCAATAGCCTACCTGCCCCGCGCCCTGCACTGTACCAATCACCCCACAGGATCATCCAGTCCAGACACGATGACCTGCCCCACAATCTACAATCACCCAGACAGCATTGTGTGGCTCGGCCCACACTTTTTTCCGTGGCTTTCTCATGTCTTCCGTGTTTTATGTTTTTAACTTCGGTTTTGGTCGTTTGTGCCACCCAACCCACGTACCATGGCCTACCTGCCCAGCACCCTGCACTGTACCAACCACCCCACAGGATCATCCAGTCCAGACACAATGGCCTGCCCCACACTCTACCATCACCCAGGCAGAATAATGTGGCTCGGCCCACACTCTTCTCTCTTTTTTTTTGCACCGCCCACGGCATCTCGGTGCCCAGCTCGCACAAGGACAGGGACAGACGGGACCATCCACACGTGGCTTTGCCCACGGCCGTTGGCTGCGGCTGTGGGCCGCAGCACGCCGAATGACTTGTCTACATAATGAAAAGAGAAGAAGACGAGATGTGAATTTAAAGAAGCAAAGGAGGAAAAGGCGGAGGGGAGGGAGAGAGGGAATGAGATTACCCAGCCCATAGTACACACATGTAACTGATAGCAAACAGATCACAAGTTCGGATCCGGATGGGATCAGATCATTAGAATAATGTCAGGGGCTACCCCCTTTCAAAAACAAAACAATAGAAAAATGGGGGGAAGAGGGAACAAAGACGTGCACAACAGCTCGCACCACGACAGGCGACCGCACCCAGTATCATGCCAAAAAAATTGGATGAACACACTGCATTGCTCCAATCCTGAAAGATCTCACCTTTGCAGGGTCTCCCCACAGTTTCCGCATGTACAAGTCCGTTCTCTTCTCAACTATTCCTGGCGGTAGACTCCTTGCCTCGACCGGCAAGTCTATATTTGCCTTCATCCCACAGAGATCAGACGAGCACAAAGTGACACGGATCAGTGAAAGTTCCTTCCAGAGTTAACTCAGTTAAGAGCTGCAACCCAATAGGTTTCATGACAAGGCGGAGATGGTGCAAATATAGGTTTCATGACAAGGCGGCGATGCACGAGAGACATGAACTCAGTACAGTTTAGGGTTAACACAGAGAAAAAGCGAGTTGAATTGAAAGGACCCAATAACACTTCGCGTCTTCCAAGACGCCCCACTAGAAGCACCACCTCCTCATGAGCATGCCCCATTGATGCCATAAATTTCTCTGGAATGCTCTGATCTACATCTAATATGCAATCGGGGGATTTTGTCATGGTCCAAGTTGAAAGCCTGTACCAGCTTAAACAACCAATACCGTCTTCACCCGAATAGAACGCCCGGTAATTATCGCTGTGTCTGGACTGGAAGTTGCCCCAAATACAGCTATAATGACCGGGCGTTCTATTCGGATGAAGACGGTAGCTCCAGACCTAACCTATCGAGTTTATTGAAGCCAGGCAACCTACCACTTTCTAGCAGTCCAGAATCCGCGGCTATTGTAGTCACTATTTTGCCAAAAAGGTGGTCTTCGCAGGTAGTGGTGGTTCAAGGAAGGTGTGATTGCCTGGCTTTCTCTTAAGACCAACAAGACCACTACCAAAGTTGCAATGATCGGTGTCACAGCAGCAACTTCGTTGATACTTGTGCTCCACTGCAGAACATGAATCAGTCAATGCAGCCATTCTTTATTCATTCAGAAGGCTGGTTTTTGACAGAAGGAAGGCATGTTCTACAGAGGGCAAATTGGTGGACAACAGCAACCAGCGGTTGTCACTGAAGCGTGTGTTAGAAGAATCACACTCTATAGAGGTCTACCTGGCTGATATTAATACTTAGCAGATCACCAAAAAATCATTGTCGCAAGCTGTACACCTACCTCAAACCTTACCTGCAACGGGAGATCACTCTTGAAGTTTTCGATACATTCGGATCGCAGGGACAAACATGAGGAAAAGTCTGCATCAAGCATTAGTCATCTGGCCTGTGCATGTGGCCTATGCATCAACCTGTACAGTCAACTAGAGTAGGTTGGCGTTCACCTTCTGGAGTCTGCCAAATCTATCACATATCAATCGAAGTGTCGTTCGATGCTTTACTGATTCTAGGGTAGAAAACCACTTGCCATACATCTACAAGATAGATGACGAGATGGGGAGGACCTGCATCCATTTTGACAATGCCAGCCCACCACCTCCCTCCCCCCCCTCCCCCCTCCC